CGCTGAGGTCCTCCTCGTCCGTTTCGACGTCCGCCCGTCTTCGCGGGGCCGGGCCGCGCCGCCACCCCCATGTGTCGCCAAGTGCGTAGGAGGAGGAGAAGGCAGCTGCCGTCGCGCGGGGACACCGCCGCCGCCAGCCCTGTCGGCGCAGCGCTGCCGCCGCAGCCCTGCAGCGCCGACAGCCCCGCGGCGCCCTGCCCTCGCGGCCACCCGCCCGACCTCAAGGTGAGTGTGTGTGTGTGACAGCTCCAGGGCGCTTGGCTGCCGAGGGCCCCGACCCGGACGAAGAGTGCGAAGCGCGTCCGGCCAGTGGACATTGAACTTTCTGCGGTAATCACAGCTGTAACACCGGCTTATAAAGCGAACAGGCCTGGAGTGACACTGCAAAGCGCTCCAGTGTAGCAGCCTTCTTCATGTCATATCTGCAGACGGTAATGCGGAGTCTTGAAGGAAACGTTGAAGAAATTCAACCCACCGTGTTAAAGTATTTGTTGGACTCTGAACATGCGACACGTAAAACCTTAACAAAACTTATGTGTGAAAGAATCCTCACGTTAGTTGGCAACATGGATCGGCCAAAACATCTGGAACTCTTCTTCCTAAGTGAATGAAGAAGCGGATGCATATTGCAATGTTTGGTGCTTTCAGTATTAAGAAAAAGGTGCAAAACAAGTTCGTTCTATTGGACCTGGAAACGAACTAGACGTCTTTTGACACCCTCTGCTACCCTCCGAAAGGTGTTCTGACACCCGGCCCACTCACATTGACAGCACGCGAGACAAGTTGCATTCATGCGAGTTCATTCGTACTTTGGTTAATCAAGATCGTACACTGCATGGATTGGAAAGATGTTTTATACCGTCTGCAAATAAACTAGCACATATTTTAGAATCTGGAAGCAGCGCTGCTTGTTACAAACTCCAACACTACCATTTTCCTATTCTATTCAATGTTTCAGTTGTTCAGTACCCCTTCAAATTTACAGCACAATTCACATGATCACCTTTTAAATTGTGAGAATATTGTGATTTAATTTACCTTAAAAAGGGGCTTGTTTTTCTGAAATACACGATTCTTAGCCGATCAAGAACATTCCCAGTTACCAAAATATCACAACAATAATGGAAAACAGCCGATCTTCTGCTTTAGGTTCTTAATGTTATTTCTCACGTAAAAGACCACTCAAAATATATTGGAATACAAGATATACAAACTCAGTATACCATGCCGCTTCGGAAAAATCTGATCCTCTGCGTGCACAAGCACACCAGTATGCTGGAGGTTTTCCGCCTTCTCACATGCAGCTCTCCAGTCAATAGTGATTCATCTGCGAAAGAATCTTGTTCTGCAGGTGACGCAAACACACCAGCTTACGGGACTTTTGCCAGTTACAAAATCATGGACCGCGAGTCACTATTCGATTTGGCACAATCACATCACAGTCTGCACACGTCTCTGCAATTTGCAAGCCTTTCCCAGTCAGGGCTTGCATTATTTTATACCCCCAATTAAGAAAACGAGTTCACATTACGTTCAATGAACTGAACATCAGTATCGTAAAAAGCGCAGGTGTTTCACGCAAATTAACGGGTTATATAGCACGTTATAAAATGTCCTACTTTTCATGACGTCTCAAGAAACTCAAATGTGTCAAAATCACGAATTTGTATTTAACTGAATTCAATAAACGTTAGTCTTGATTGCATGAGGTATTTTATGATGTGATAAAAACACATACGAGGAACCAATAGTCGGCGCATTTAAGAGAATCCTTTTGTACTTGAAAAAAAAATAGAAACAATTCCTTTAATTTACAAGGTCAGATAAGTGGTTCCGATGATTTTTATTTTTAATGAATTAAGTGAATAGTTTTCCTAGATTCTTGCTCGACTGGATGGAAGTGTACTCACTTTACACTCAGACTGATGTAACTTTCAAGTGATTTTAAATGGGCTTTAAAAGTTCTTGAAGAGGGGAAGGGTAGGTCATTTGGGCGAAGATTCATTCACAGGAATATTTTGTAGTCTGCTTAAATATGATATAAAAACGTAGATTTGTAGTCACGAGTAAAGAATGTTTATCTGCAGAAATGATACGTGTTTAATGTCGAATTAAGAGAAACAATTTATTCAATTTTCAATTTCAATGCTTGCAAAATATATGGTTTGTGATTGTGTCGCTCAAACAATCAGAACCCGGTCAACAACAGAACTCGATAATTTGACAGGGATAAAACTGCTTTCTTGAAGTGATTTATTGTGAAAAGTTTTAAGCTTCAATAAACTCGCCCGACTTTTTTCTAAGCGAAGTCATTCAATGATAATGAAAATATCTAAATATTCGTGGAATCCATGTGACGAGAGAGAAGAAATAGTCGGCACTGTAAAACACAATGAGTTCCGGCTTTCGCAAAATAACAATGGCAAAGCTGTAGAAACTGTTATTAATTACATTAAGATGAATACTTCCTCCTACTGTTGATACGACTTTTAATGCAGTCTTATCTCTCCTCCAGTTAATTTGAGACACAAGTCAAAACGTCTCAATAAAATTACATTGAGAAATGAACCAAGTAGTACTGTTCGATCTAATTACTAATTTCTCCACTCTTACTTCCTACACTATCTTGGTTTTCGTGATTTCACTCACACGAGGTGTGACGTAACAAAATACACGTGAGCCGCATCGGTCTTTAGCAATCATCCATGAAAATGGATCACTGCCGATCATAATGGAATTGGTACCCTCCAGGTAGAGATGCCAGTGGCAATTCTGTTGATCCAGTGACAATATCATAAATTCCTCTTCTTCACTGGTGGTCTATTTATAAGGCAAGTATCTGGTCGTGGCTTTCTGGTTTCTTTATTTTCTTACTTCTATTTATTCTTTCACAGCTGCTTTCCACTTTGATAAAATCGAATATATCAGTTAAGAACGTTTCCTTCTTTCTATCCCTCCTCCACATGACTTCCAAAGCTTCCCCATCTCTTCCAATATCCTAACTTGAATTTTTTATGTCACTGAATACTCTTGCGTTCTCCATTGTATTGAACAGCACACCAATGTCCACCTTTGTCCATCATTATTTCTATCGAAGAATCCCCTCAATTTTCAGTGCCTTCGATTTTATTTGGTGTTTGGATTTCATTACTCTCACTAGTATTCTCACACTATACACACAATCAGAGGCCGCTGTTTTTGAATTCCTGAACACATTTTTATATAGTAAGTGACTTTCTTACTATAAAATACCAATCTATTAATGACATCATCTCAAATAAGAAAAATATCATAACATGTACTATTAATAACAACATACAAATGTAATTGAGTGGATATCTCATTTGGAAACGTCTTTCAACGTTCTTACAATAGCCAAAATCCCGCACTTTGATATTGCAGATGGCACACCATACATCACCCTTCAAGCAACGCAGTTAGAACAGCATACAGCAACGCAGTTAGAACGCAACGCACTGGCTTTCACAGTAGGAAGCCTGCCAGGGTTTCGCTTGTCTTCGCAAAGATAGGAAACAGTAAAGGGGTTCCGCTGGGGCGTAGCGGCAGGCATCGGCGCTGCATCATGCGCGAACCCACGAATTTCCGTTGGTCGTGACGCAAACACGGCTGCTGCCGGCCGCTACGTCGCGCACGTGCACTGCACTGTTGGCTCCCCCAACCCGTTGGCCGGCCGCCCCCGGCTCCCTCGACGTACCCAGCCACAAAATATTTTATTTTTTTCTTCTACGCGGCAGAAAAAATACACACTGTATGAGGCGGAACACACGATTTTTTTTCTACGCGTCAGAAAATTTACAAACTGCATGAAACGATGTTTGAGGTTGCACAATTTCTTGTATGATACGCTAAGAAATATTTGCGAGAGTTTACGATTTATAAGACATGAAACCTACGTACTTATATAATGCACTAAGTAAAGGTAACAAACCAAGATGTTTCTTAGGCTCCAATGAACAAAGTGAGACATTTTCGGACCTTCTATTACATTTTGGGAGCGTTAGTGCTAGTGAGAACTCCCACTCTTTAACGGACATATGAAAATCTACTTAAATTAAATTGAATTTTTAACAATGTTCCGGGGCTCCAATGTACATTCCACACAGTTCAGAGGGCCATCGTTCAAAATTGCATTCCAGAATGAAGCTTTTTTAACTATAAAACGGTGATTTATAACGTACGTAATGTTCCCACAAGTTCAAATAATCTACGTTTGTTGTCCAGCAGCAACTCAACGGACCATCTTGGCATTTGTTCTGTGCATATAGGAAAGCTGGACAAAAAATCGTGTTCGAGCCGAAGTCGTTAACAAACATTTAAATTTTTTAATTATAATAATATTAAAAAAATCATTAAAAGCAAGTAGTACGTGTATAATACTTTTTTATTCAAGAAAGAAACATTTTCAAATATTTTAGGCCTCCTCTACTAAGTCGATCTGAAGGTAGGATATAACTATTGAGAATGGTGTTAAAAAGTCCGAGAATATGAAATGGACTTTCAGCAAAAAGTTTTGACGGTATTATGGGAATATATTTTTTGTGAAATAAATTGCTTCGCTTAGAATATCCTTCTCTTCCTCCTCCTGCTCTTACTTTAGTTTTTTAGCCAAAGATTCGTTAGAAAAGGGTTGTTTTCTTTGCCTACCTGGGTTTTGTTCTTTTTTTCTACCGACAACACGCCACCTTGTCAATACCAAAGAATATAATTGAGTTGGTGAGCTCACTTTTCTTGGCGAACATACCTTACGTGAATACACTGAACTCTTCAAATCCCCATAGTAAATACTGCCGTAGATCAAGAAAGAGAGGGGAGAGAGAGGGAGAGAGGGTAGTACGACTTTTGACATTTCTAAAGCAAAACTTTCCACAACCTTTTCCACAACACTTTCGGAACAATTCCTCTTCGCACTTCTGTGTTACAGTCAGATGCCAACATGTCACTCTACATGTCAAAATCCTTGCAATACATTCATCTAGGTTGAACACCTTTCGATAATATAACGAATCTTGAAAGAGTCATTCAAGTATCGGGTTACAGATCTTATTACTTCACTACCGCTCATTTCTGAGTTGAGCATGCAAAACATTGAGGAATGTTGAATGAAGTCGTAGGCTTCCGCAACTAGAGTCATGTGGGTGATCTGGGCTGTCCAGGTGACGCCGCGTCGATTTTTCGACGCGGCGTCACCCGGACAGCCCAGATCACCCACATTGAGGAATGTTCTAAACAGTATCTCTTTAAAATTATATTCAGAACACTCAGAAAGAGGCAAAGAAAATCCTCGGAATCAATTTCTTTTTATCTCACAAATGGAAAGGTAAAAAATAAACTAACTTGATTTTAATATATCTGCAGCACATTCGCGTTATTGTTATCTTCAGTGGCAACAGGGTCCCTTTCTCGCCACAGGTCGTGCATAAATCGAACGCGCACACGCGTGCGTGAGATAAGAAAGCGGCCGGTGAGCGCCGGCAGCAAGTGGTGCATTATTTGGCATCGTTTCTTCCGTTTCCTATGGCTCCAAAACCACACCATTTGCCCATGTAGGTCACTGTGAAAGCACCTTCTGATATAAACTGGTAGAACACAC